CGTCTTTATTGTGTATATGGTTACTGACTTTCTTCTTTATGATTTATATGGTTACTGACGTTCTTCTTTATGGTTTATATGGTTACTGACTTTCTTCTTTATGGTTTATATGGTTACTGACTTTCTTCTTTATGGTTTATATGGTTACTGACTTTCTTCTTTATGGTTTACATGTTCACTGACTTTCTTCTTTATGGTTTATATGGTCAATGACTTTCTTCTTGAATCTTAATATTCTTTTTTTTAAATGTGGCTAACATTATTCCATGTATAATAGGTTATTGTTTAGGAAAAAGTGGTATGAAATTGAAATGTGACATGTCTATGTGCAAGAAGCTCTATATTACTAGTTTAGCATGTTTTCATTACACGGGACATGCCAATGCATATACACAACCATTTTTGAATTTCCCAAATGGGAAAGTTCACTTACATCTCTGCCACTGCATCTCCCACACCGCAGAACTTTGCCAGCTCATCTATGCCCTCTTCTTTAATAACAGTACTATCCACATCAAAGCAGACTGCATCGGCCCGACGGAAGAGTTCTTTCAGCTGTGACAGGGAAGACATACTGTGGTGCACCTTCCTGGAATTAAAACAACAGGAAAAAATAAGCATTTCAAAAATAAATAAATTGATAAAACACTAAACAATATAGATGAATCTAAATAACCCCATGCTTCTGCCACTGACTCCTGCCACCCCTTTAACCCTTTCGCTGCCAAACCCTCCGGAACATTTTTCAAATCAGCTGGCCAAGCCATTTTTGAATTTTCTGCAATTTTTTCCTATTGATTTGATTTTCAACTGCTGCGTTGCTAGCGTTTGTAAAAGACCCCCCAAACCATATATTTTCTGAAAGCGCAGGCCCGGTAGAATAAAAAGATGGTGATACTAAATTTGTAGGCCCTGCGATAATTGCGCAAATGTTTCTCAAATTAATATTAAACCGATAAAAATACACAATTCAATTGTTAAAACAACTGAATACTGGTAGTCGCAGGTAGGCTTACTGATCATGTGATCATTGTGAGTGAACGTCACACTGGTCACATGGTCGGGAGCCCGTCCCATAAACACTGACCGGGAGCTGTCAGTGACAACTTGGTCACTGTGCTGGGAGCACAGAACAGCAGAGCTGGCCATATGCATATATCTGCCAGAGTGCCATTAAAGCCCACCGCAATGTTGATGCATATATGCGTATAGCCACTGAGAACGTGTTAAAGTAGTTATTTAAAGGGCAATTCCACTTTTTGAAAACAATAGATAAATAAATGCACATGTCTTCATAAAAGAAAAACTGTGCATTTATTATTTTTAGCATAGGAGCCAGTAAAACATTACAACCGTTATCAGTGGAGGGTGGGTGCAATGCTCTGGCTCCTGCAGACTCTTCCTCCTGTCCATATCTGTACCGTGGTATGGACATTCATTAATATGGATGGGAAGAAGAATAAATGGGCTACAAGGGCGGTGAGAGTTTAAAGATGGCGGTGGAATTTAAGACATGGGCCACTAGAAAAGAAAGTATACTCAGTTTTCTGTAACCCTTCTCTACTCTACGGAAATCAAAAAAAAATATGTTTGGCCATACATACAATTTAAATTTCTCATGCTTGCTTATGTCTGAGTAGCTTTTATGGATCTTCATAAAAACTGTTTTAAAGACATGAACATAACTGTAATATTATAACATTTGCCTGCTCTTTCTAATCAACTTAAAAACATGTCTTACCTGATGTGTGTAGACATGGATTAAATGGGCGTCTGTAAGAGGAGGAACAGTGTGTATGTGCTGTGGAGGAACCTGTCGCATTGACCTGCATGAACAAAGCACAGGTTTACTTGAAGCAAAATAAAATCATGCTAATAATTAATACAGTACTCAGAAATCGGAAGCACTGTTTTCTCAGGGTCTGTGTCAATGGGATTTTGTTGGCATCAGGCAGGTTTTGCATTCCTATGCAACACCCACTTGAAGCAGGTCAGATGGAAGTCAGAAAGATGTCAACTGCAGTTCAAATGCAGCTGTTCATGAATTCAGAATGATCTCAGAAGTGTCTCAAACTGATGTCATTGACACAAGACCAAAGCCCGTCCACACAGACCCTAAGGAACCTTTATGTCTGTGGGTAGATGATAGTTTGGCTAGCACAGAGGTGAACATATAAATATGGAATTCAGGAGCCAGGAGTCCAATCCAGGAGGGAGCTCCATTGACAACAACTAGAGAAAAGCTTAGAATTTAGGTGCCAGCTGTCACTTTTAGGAAGCATAGCTACCTGGCTCCTGAGCTTTGTCCAGCCCTGGAGAAGTAGAAGCATTTTGTCCCTCAAGTTATATATTGGAAACCTAAATCAATTACCCTTTGCTTACAATTGGTCATTAGTGTTCTCATATGCCAAGTTCGAAATGCTATTGCACAAAGAAAAAAATGGGATAAACATGGACTTTAAAAATGAATTCTAGGAAATGTAAAAATTAACCACAGTGTCTTAGTGGTAAGCACATCTACCTTGCACTACTGGGGGTTCCCAGTTCAAATCCCAGCCAGGACACTCTCTGCAAGGAGTTTCCATGTTCTCCCTGAGCCTGTGTGGGTTTCTTCCCATATTCCAAAGATATGCTAGAAAGCAAATTGTCCCTGCATGTGTGTGCAATAGATTGTAAGCTCCTTGAGGGCAGAGACCGATGTTAATGTGCACTGTAAAGCGCTGCATAAATTGTTGGCACCATATAAATACCTGTAATAAGTAAATAAACCTTGTGGTAAAGCTACCCCCGCAATGCAAGGGTTAACTGCTCATTTTGGTCTAGGGGCTAAATAAAAAAAATACATTCACCTGATCCTCGGTCCTGCGGTGGTAAGCGCTCACCTCTCTCCCCTCCACTCTGGTGGTGGAACTTCCCTCAGCGTCCTCAGCTGCTTTAGACGTGATGATGTTCTTAGACCTGGGAGCCCAGGGGAGAAGAGGCTGCAGGGACCAAGGATCGGGTAAGTATATCTTTTTTTTATTTTAGCCCCTAGACCAAAACGACCAGTTAAAGTGATATTAAAGACAAAAGGATTTGAAGCCATTTCAAATGCTGATGACATCACTTACAATTTGGGCTGCAGCTAACGATTATTTTCATAATCGATTAGTTGGCCGATTATTAAGTTACAATGGATGATGCTCCTTGTTGTTTAAAAGTTTTAGTTTCCTGCAGAATCAGCTGCTCCCCTGAGCACTGGTCCTGACTTCCTGTTTTACAGTGACTCCTTTCCCAAGCAGAGTGCTATGCAGTCACCCTTGTGTGTGCTAGTAAGCGGTGTGTGTCTCCACAAACACACAGACACAGCATATCAAGCAACTTCCCTACTGCCTGCCCCCCTCTTCTCCCTTCTCCAAGCTAGTAGATGAACAGCTGCTGTAGTCTGTTCTGTCCTTTGTGATCTTGTACTGGACAGTAAGTTCAGGGAAGCTGAGCTGAGAGACTTGGAAGCAGCTGCTCAGAAACATAATGATTGTAATTGGGCAAAAAAGTAAAGAAATACCTTGCTTGGTAATGTACCGTATATACTTGAGTATAAGCCGTCCCGAATATAAGCCGAGGTACCTAATTTTAGCCAAAAAAACTGGGAAAAAGCATTGACCCGAATATAAGCCGAAATCTGGATTCATTTTTTTTTTTCAAGTTTGAGAGTTTAATACTACTCTGCATGGTGATATGAAATCATCTTACATTCATTAGTTAAACAAACATATTTTTATTTTACTTACAATTCATTGTTTTATACTTTCTGATCCACTTTGGCACAAATGATGTAATTGTGCCCACGCATTGCATCCTGGGAAGGTTACATCAGCCGAGCATTTCTGGGAAATCTCATCTGTAATCTCATGAGATCTCAGGGAAAGGCATTTTCCTCCCCTGAGATGATGTGCATGGTTACATGTCCTAGTCACATGTGCCAGGAAGTAAAGGGAGATGGATTCATCTTCCCTCAGTAAAAATGGCCACTGTCAGAAGACTGAGGAAGAAAAGAAAAATGAGATATGCAAAGAATACAAAGCCTGCAATTCTCTATAAGAATCTGTTTGTAGATTGTCATTACTAAACATTTATAAAAGGTGTCTTTGTTGCTATTTCGAAGATATGGGTAAAAGTTCCTCTTTAACACTTGCAGAGTGGGGGTAGCCCCATTGCAAGGGGAATTTTCGCAATTCCTTGAGTTCCTCTTTAAATCTGGGTACACACAGAATAAATTTCAATCTGTGGGTGGCCATATCCCCTCAACAGAAAAATGTTAGACCCTAGTACTACAAGGGTTAATATTATCTTTGAGGGTCACGTTCCAATGCATGATCACCTTTCATTATTATCATTTCTCCTATTTCATAACCAAACATCTGCAAGGGTGGTGCAATGTACCATATGTTTGCATTGCATAATAACAATGTTTGCTTTTCTTACAGCTACAGTCCACGTGCTGTGAAAGTCACTGACTTATATGACATAATCTGTTCATTTTCCCCCTCCATGGATGTAGCAGATGTTGAAAGGTCATACAATGTGTGCAATATATGCTGTCATCTGAAATATTTCCCTTTGTAAATTAAAAAAAGACATTCTTTTTATTCAGTCATGCAGCTAAGTAGAATAAACTGGATAGCCGAAATAACATTTCACTAATTCCAAAAAAGATGTTAATGGACTCAACAGGATTTTAGCAAGTCCAACTTATGTAGCATGGACTTTCAGTTTTTAATCTTAATATATATATATTTTAATGATATAGTGTACAAGTATATATTGATATATTTTAATAAAATATACATGAGAGATCCATGTTACATATCTTTCTGTGTACAAGAAAGCTCTGTATATTGAAAGGGTATGACCCTAGAGGTCATTTATGACTCTCTTAGGCCTTGTTCACACCAAATGCAGAGCAGATCCGCTCAGGTTTCTGCACACGCAGTGCAGTGGGTTGTGCCGCGTTTTTGATGCGTTCCGGGCCGTTTTTTTTTTTACTTTAACATCGGCTTTCAGTGCGTTCCAGGCATTTGCACGTGTTTTTGATGCGTTTGCATGCGTTCCAGAGCAGGTAAAATAGGGCTTGATGCTGTTTTTTCACCTGCTCTGGACCTGTTTTGGAACTGCACGCTGCGATGTGAACTGGAGCAAAAAATACCATTGGAATACATTGGACGCAGTTTTGATCCGGTCTGCAACTGCTCTGCTCTGCACCTGCTCCGCGCTTGGTGTGGACAAGGCCTTGGGTATAATCAGGAATGTGGTTCTGACCTTTTATGATTTAGAGTAGTAGATCAATAGCAATTGATCGCTAACTGATGAGACAAAAGGCTATCTATGGTGCAACCTACAAAGGTGCATGTAACAGAAATGAACTGTACACAAGTGAAGCATTGTGGGATCATAGCTTATTAATTGCTATTATAAGATAATGTGCAGCTAACACAATAGGGAGCCATTTATTCCATCAGAAAGTGCCCAATTGTTACTAATCAGACGCAATTACAGCAGCTTGATTCAGCTACAAAAATCTGCCACGAAGCCTATGCTTTATCATGG